TGCCGGCAGCACTCATGCAGCCCCAGACCCTGACACTCCCATCCCAACGAAATAAGTTTATCTTGGTTTCATCAGACCACAGAATATGGTTCCAGTAATCCATGTCCTTATTCTGCTTGTCTTCAGCAAACTGATTGCGGGCTTTCTTGTGCATCATCTTTAGAAGAGGCTTCCTTTTCGGACGACAGCTATGCAGAGCAATTTGATGCAATGTGCGGCGTATGGTCTGAGCACTGACAGGCTGACCCCCCACCCCTTCAACCTCTGCAGCAATGCTGGCAGCACTCATATGTCTATTTCCCAAAGACAACCTCTGGATTTGACGCTGAGCACGTGCACTCAACTTCTTTGGTTGATCATGGAAAGGCCTGTTCTGAGTGGAACCTGTCCTGTTAAACCACTGTATGGTCTTGACCACCTTGCTGCAGCTCAGTTTCAGGGTCTTGGCAATCTTCTTATAGCCTAAGCCATCTTTATGTAGAGCAACAATTCTTTCTTTCAGATCCTCAGAGTTCTTTGCCATGAGAGCGATAACACCAAATTTCACACAGCTGCTCCCCATTCACACCTGAGACCTTGTAACACGAACGAGTCACATGACACTGGGGAGGGAAAATTGCTAATTGGGCCCAATTTGGACATTTTCACTTAGGGGTGTACTCACTTTTGTTGCCAGACATTAATGGCTGTGTGTTGAGTAATTTTGAAGGGACAGAAATTTTACACTATTATACAAGCTGTACACTCACTACTTTACATTGTAACAAAGTGTAATTTCTTCAGTGTTGTCACATGAAAAGATATAGTAAAATATTTACAAAAATGTACTCACTTCTGTGAGATACTGTAGATACCCAACATGTCATGCTTTAAAATTTTGCACGCTCATGGTATGGCGTCAAACTAAAAAATCTCCATGGGTGACGTTTTAAAAATTTCTACAGGTCACCAGTTTAAAGTTACAGAGGAGGACTAGTGCTAGAATTATTGCTCTTGCTCTGACGTTGGTGATACCTTGTGTGGTTTGAACACCATTTACATATGTAGGCGTGACCTATGTATGTGTTCACCACTATGTGTGAGTGCGGGGGGACGGGGGCACTGTAAACTTTTTTTTTTCTCTCTTTTTGCACTGTCCCTTTGAATTTTTTTTTTTAATCACTGTTATTCCTATCACAAGGAATGCGTTCATCCCTTGTGATAGAAATAAGCAGTGACAGGTCAATAAGACCCCACATCTCTCCTTTACAGTGTAAAGCATTAGATCAAAAAAAAGCATTGATCTAGTGCTTTAAAAAAAAAAAAAAAAAAAGCCTTGTTTACAAGGTGCCAGAACCGGAAGTGACATCTCCCCGGTCCTCCAAGGGCATAGAGACGAGTGGAGGCCATCTTTCCTTCACTTAGCTTTATGCAACACCGGGATCGTTCGCTCGGTGTTCTCAGCCTGGTGGGAGAGCGGCATGGGGTGGGGTTATTTTCAGCACCTGTATCGATGCTTATTTTCATATCAGCCAAAGGCCAATAGGGGTGTTTTCGACTGAAACGTTTTGGCCACCGAAATTTGAGTGAACTCCCTAATTTCCAACCAACTGCAAATTGATATTTGTAAACTTTCTTTGTGATGAACCCCACACATTTACTTTCTTTGACACGTATTCACTGTTTCATGTGAGTAGGCACTCCTGTGTCACAAAATTCACAAAGCCTGCCTTCTGAATTACAGTGATGCTGGGAGGAGTTTCAGGAGACAGAGTCAGTACAGGAATCATAGCTTGCAGGCAGCAAGGTACCATGGGATATGTAGTCCTTAGAAATTTCAAGTAAACAGCAGAGGAGAAGCTGCAAAGCATGTAGGTAAATCCAGGAAGTTGAAAAGAGATGGTCAGCAGACCAGCAGCATTCAACATGAAAGGAGGTTTTTCAAGTAAGTATTGTAATGGTTGTGGCACATGAAAGCTGTAGGCGACATCCATCTTGTTCTGGTCTCAGCCTTTTCTGTCATGAGAAGAGGCATAACCCAGTGATCTTATCCCCTACCTCCTCCTGCAATGCATAGAATTCAAAGCCTTAACTTTTTAACACTTCAAAAGAGCTTGTTAACTCAACTTAGGGTCAGCAGACACCAGTACACAAGCCTTTGCCACAGCTGTAAATAAGTAACTGAAGTCCTGGCAGGATGCCTGTTAGATTCTAGTGACGATAAAAAAAAAAAAAAAAAAAAACTCTACAGAACACGTCCCTCTGACCTATCACAAAATCCTTCAGTTCTGTCACCCACAGTTTGTAGGGCAATTAAAACACCAGGAACACATATAGCGCGCCATAAAATGGGGATTGTAAAGCAGTCAGGCTTGCAGTGACCTTTTGGCGACCCCGACTTCCCAACTCAATATTTCAGAACTACACGCAATTCATAAAATCAAACAGGACCAAGACACATCAATATTAAATATATATTTGAATGAGGAATATCATACCGAACAAATCAAGATCATACATGGCTAGGATATAGCATACAGAAGGTTAGGTAGCAGTCAGATAGCTCTGGGGTGACAGGTCCATCCGAAATACTCTGTTTAGTATCCTTGGGCTGAACAATAACCTACCAGTTTCCAGAATGCAACTAGTACATATTGGAAGACATTAATACTAATAAAATGTTGAGTGTAAGGGACAACCATGAGATCGTCAAACACGGTGACAACCCCATGGCCACTCTGCAGCAGCTTAATTGGTCAGATGGTCTCCGTCAACACCCTCTTTGATACCACAGAAAAAGGGACTGGCGGGACATTTTGTCAAGCTCTCATGTACCATCAACCAAATCTGTAAAGTTATGAGAGCCGACATCTTGCTCACCTTTGACTAAACTCTGCTAAGGCTTTGCAAGTATATATTTATTGTCACTTCTTCTTGTCTTGCTGCTACTTGTTCTCTGTTACTTTGTAATATCTGTTTTTGTAAATATTTTATCTGCACCTTTTTGACCTTTTTATTATTAAACCCTATTCTGAAAAGTGTTGAAATTGCCTGTAAATGTGCTAATACAAACTAAAAGAATCTGTCTCTTGAAGAGTGCTACTGTATTAGAAATCTCTGAACATTTTATTCTAAAATCATAGTAGTTATTGCTAAGATTGTGAGTTTTCTCCTCGGTAAAAAGATGCTGGCGGTGGCAGCTTAACCACTTCACGCCCGGACACTTTTACCCCCTTCCTATCCAGGCCAATTTTCAGCTTTCAGCACTATCCCAGTTTGAATGACAATTGCGCGGTCATGAAACACTGTACCCATATGAATTTTTTAGCTTTTTTTGAGACAAAGTTTTATTTTGGTGGTATTTATTCACCACTGGGATTTTTAATTTTTTTTGCTATATAAATGAAAGCCCAAAAATCTTTTTAAAAAGTGTTTCATCTTATAAAATTTTGCAAATAAATATTTCATCATAAATCTTGCCCAAAATGTATTCAGTTATCTTTTTAGTAAAAAAAAAAATACAAAAATAACCCAAATTAGTTTATAACCAAAAATTATAATTTTAAATTTTTTTTTACGTACTGTCACCCTAGCAGTACAGTGTCACCATGTATTACTTGTGGGGGGTGATGAAGATTTTTTTTTTTTTACACCGATTGCTTTTACACCCATAAAGGCTGTAAAAGCAATAATTTCTCGTTCTCTCTGGCTGCATTCTTGCAGCCATTGAGAAATACTGTGTGAGCTGTGATTGGTCACAGCTTGCCACATGGTACAAGGCTGTTGTGAATAGCCTTGTACCATGTGACCTCTGTGATCATTGACAGATTTCACACGTAGTAATCAATGATGTCAGAAGTGACATTTTTCTTACTACTCTGCTGTGATCACTGATTGGCCAATCAGTGATCACATTATTGGACCTCACACAGAGGTCCCGTACGACGATCGGTGTTCCACTGTGTCCGGAGACACAGTGGGCACCGGATCGCGGTGCTGTGCGCTCCCAGGGAGCGCACACAAGCAGGGGGCGGGGAGGCCATTTATAACTGGCAACCCAACCCTGCACTGCCACCGTCCGGCTGTTTATATACAATGGCCGGACGAGAGGTGGTTAAAAATGTATTACTTAATTAACTTAACCCAGTGACAATCACTCTCAGGCTGCTGGCACCTAGATCTTGGTCCTGCAAGCTGGAACATCTTTTTGCAGGGTGCAGCTGAGAGTGGCATTTTTACATTTTTTTTTGGTGAGATTGGCCAGTCCACATTGGCCTCTGCATTCATCACAGGTATATATTGGATTGCCAAATATAACTACTTTATGTATTACTATTACAATGCTGAGACCATAGAACTCCTTAAAAAAAAAAAAAAAGTTGACCACAGAGAAGTGGTCCTAAAGGTACGAAATTTACCTTAATGCATTCCCTGCATTACTGTAAAATAAAATAAAATAAAATGCCAGTATTTGTATTGCCTCTTTTACCCCCCTCATAGTCCTTTCTTGATCCAGTGCTGTGCATCTGCAGCGGCACTGATCTCTCTCTCTCTCAGGACACAGAGACATTGACTCCTGTTGCTGTCAACCAAATTCTATGAGGGATCAGGGGAGAGTCATGCTGCGAGTGTTTATGGACACAAAAACCCTGGCTCGGGAGCAAGTCTGCAGGTGTTAAACCATAGAAAGCGGCTTGCTAAAGTGGCACATATAGTATGGGGAGGAGCCAAGAGTGCTGACGGAGACCTCAGAAGAGGAGGTTCTGGGCTGCTCTTTGCAATACCATAGTATACTATGTTTATTAGATTTGGAAAAAAAACCAAAAACTTTTTAATCACTTTAACCGCCTCCCGCCGCCATATAGTACGACGGCGCAAGCCGGTTCTCTCGTTCTGGGAGGACGTCATATGATGTCCTCACATTCTAAGCCCACAGCGCGGCGATCGGCAGTGCGCTGTGTCCCTCGGACACAGCGGATCACTGATCAACGGAAAGAGCCGAAGATGTCGGCTCGGTGATGTGATCAGCTGTGTCCAATCACAGCTGATCGCATGTAAATAGGGAAATGCCAGTTATTGGCATTTCTCTCCTCACGAGCTGTCACGCTGACAGAGGAGAGCCGGTAATCTGCATTCCTCAGAGGGGACATGTACACTGATCATAAGGCATTGATGATCAGTGTGCCCTGATGATCTGTGTAGCCCCAGCAGTGCCACCTGTCAATGTCCATCAGTGCCAGCTGTCAGTGCTCATCCATGCCACCTGCCAGTGCCCATCAGTGCCACATCAATGCCACATTTCAGTGCTTACCACTGCACATCAATGCCACATATCAGTGCCCATCTGAGCTGCCTTTCAGTGTCACCCATCAGTGCCACCTATCAATGCCAGTCAGTGCCACCTATCAGTGCTGCCAATCAGTGCCACCTAACAGTGCCTGTCAGTGCCACCTAACAGTGCCATATATGAGTGCTGCCTTTCAGTGCCACCTACCAGTGCCTCATCATCAGTGCCCATCAGTGCCACCTATCAGTGCCCATCACTGCAGCCTCATTAGCGCACATCAGTGAAGGAGAAAAATCACTTATTTACAAAATTTTATAACAAAAACGAAGAAAATGTTTTTTTTATTTTCAAAATTTTCAGTGGTTTTTGGTTTGTTTAGCAAAAAAAACCCAGAGGTGATTAAATACCACCAAAATAAAGCTCTGTCACAAAAAAAATGATAAAAATGTCATATGGGTACTGTGTTGCATGACCGCGCAATTGTCATTCAAAGTGCAACAGCGCTGAAAGCTGGAAATTGGCCTGGGCAGGAAGGGGGTATAAGTTCCCTGTAGACTAGTGGTTAAACTAGAGTTATATAACAATATAGGGATAATGTAATGGATCTACCTCACAAAAGATCCGCAATTATGCAAAGGAATTTGATTATTATTATTATACAGGATTTATATAGCGTCATCAGTTTGTGCAGCACTTTACAATATAAAGGGTGACAGTACAAGTACAATACAGCTCAACACAGAAGGAATAGGAGGGCCCTATTCATGTCATTTAAAGACATTAGGACCATTGCCTGAGCCTGTGGAATTTGACACAAGAACAGCCAAAAGCATCTATGGGTACACCAAAGTAAACCTGTGAGGACAGAACATCCTCCCATCCTCCTAGAACAAACACGAATCATTCAGAGCATTGCTCAGCCATTCAAAAGTAGCCTTGTATTGTATTGTATGAACACAAAGTTTCCTCCGATTGGCTGAGTTGGAGATTGTGATGTCATCTGCCTGTTTCTCTGCCTCGTTTATTCATACGAAACAAAGCTGCCTGCGAATGGCTGAGCAGCACTCAGCCAGACTTGATTTTGCTGCAGTGGCAGGACAGAAAGTTCCTGTCCCGCTGTCTGAACACAGCACTATATACATACGGTGTGCATATACATGTTTGTGAACAGTTGAGAGCAATAATGAGGTTTGGCTACCAGGTACAGCGTGGACCCTAGGAATGGGGAGTTTATCTCATACAAAGCTCTACAATACCTCCACGCTCCAAAATAGAAATTATTAGCCTCTTGCCGATTGTGTAACGCAGATGCAGCACAAGAAAAGTGGGATTTAATGTCCAGCCACTGAACATACACATCGAGTGGCTCAAGGTTTTGTGCTGAGAGCATGCTCACCGCCAATGACACAGCTCTCTCCAACTGCTCTTGGTAACGATTTCTAATGGGAGACAAATAGTCAGGCTTACAATCATGTGACCACAGTGAGAGCCAATCACAGCGGTTGCGGCACCTCTCTGAAGGCCTACTTATAGGGCAACTGGGAGGTAGCATGAACAGGTTAAGAGTATGAGAAAATATCGTTTTTTTTTCTCCATGTCAGTCAAACTCTGGAGACTCTCACAGCAGCCACGTGAGGAACCCTGGTGACATACACCACTTACAAGTCTGCCAGCGCCTAACTAATTATGTAACTTTTTTAAACAGTTTATTTTTTTTTTTTACATTCTTATAATATAGACAATAGAATCACTGCCACTATACAATCATTTAATACATTCAGATGTAATAAAAAAAAAAAAAAAAAAAAAAAAAAAAAAAAAAAAAAAAAGCATCCAGCGGATGTTTCCAAAGTGTTACTTTCACTATATTTTGGAAATAAATTAGTAAATTATAAATCTTAAATGACGTCATCTCCTTCTGAACAAGAGGGAAAAAAAAAAAAAAAAAAAGCAAGATCACTTTGGTACACTAAAAGCTTGATCCATTAGTTGTGGGCGCAAAGTAAAAAGAAGAGTACATTAAATGACTTCTAGTGGTAATTTGTGGTATAAAACCACATCCTGTCAGCAGCAATACGAAAGCCATATTTCCTGCAAAGTACACCATCATAACTACCATATAAAATGGCATCAAAATTCAAAGCTGTATTAAAAAAAATACATATGGTAACGTTTGTCTTAAAGCATAACTCCACTTATTTTAATTATTTTTTTTTTTTTATACTATGCAGTGGGGCTGTATATTTACTGGTGCCTCACAGAAAGGTACCGATTGCTACTTGCAATCAGGAGCTGTCCGATCATGTGACCGCTGTGACATCCAGACCCTAAACTCCACCCTGCCTCTAGGTGTCACAAACCCTTTAAAGGCCTGGGAGACGCCAGCACAAAAGGGGTTAAAACAAAAAAGAAAACACAGCATGGACTGCTCTTCCAAATGGAGCTTCCGCTCTCTGTCACTTGACCACTGTCTACATCACCAGCTCTGCCCCTTACGTGTTACACTACCAGGCGTGGCTTCATCAGAGGAAGAGCTGCCATATTGGGTCTAGATCATATGACGTCCTCCCAGGATTTACCGCGCTGTGGTCCATCACCTGCTGTGTCCGCCGAATAGAGCGGATTGCAGACTGTTGTACCGGGCTGCTGCCAGTACCATGTGATCGCTGTGACCAAAGACAGCAAATCACATGGCAATTGTACACAATGAATGGCTTCCATTCGCTGAGTACTGTTGTGTTGAGCACCGTGATTGGTCACAGTGATCACATGGTACAGATAGGGCTAATTACAGCACATCTGTATCATGTGACTACTTGTGGCCAATCACAGCTTCACAATAGAAATAGCATAGTATTAGTATGCTTACTTATAACAGCGATTTTCACTGTTTAGATATCAATATGGAAAAAAAAAAAATCATGATCACCTTCTCAGTAGTACAGTGTCACTATGGTAAAGCTGTATTGTTCTGGTCACCGTAAGAAAAAAAAATTGAAAAATCATACTAGACATTGTCCCTGATCACCACCACACCAGTTACTAGGGATGCACCGGCAGCCGAAACACATGAGCCGAAAACAGCCCTGTCAGCATTTTGCCGCTTGGAAAAAGTGAGCAGATACAGGAGCCAATATTTGTGGCCCAAGAGACCTGGGCCCCAATCAGGGGCGAACTTACTATTTGGCTGGGGGGTTTGGGGGGGCTGTGTGTACTGCAGGTGGAGAGAGGGGGGGAGTAAGGGGGGGAGAGGGGCCAGCGGAGAAAGGCAGGAGAGGAGGTAAGCAGTGTATAGAGTGAGGGAGCAGTATAAAGACAGGCTCTCTTGCCGCCGCTGTCATGCATTGCTTACCTTTTTTTCCTCACTTAATAGCTCCCCACTGCTAAAGTAAACAAAGGGGTGGGCTCATTCAGTGACATTACCCAGTGAATCCACCCTTTTGTTTACTTTAGGGGGGGTGCAGTGTGGCGGCAGATGACAGCTCTTTCTCGGAGAAAAAAGTGAAGAAAACAAAAAGCCGGCAATTTCATTTAAAACCAGCAATGACATTTGGCGGCAGCAAGTGAGGGAGCCTGTCTGCATACACTGCTCCTCTCATACCTCCTTCCTCGCACACACTCCCAACCCCCTCCCCTTCAGAGAGGATCTGTCACTCATATGCCCCCACATACGCAGACATACATTAAAATATGGGGTGGGCTTCCATACATAAAAAATGGCAATTGTGCTACACATGCTACATATCAACGAGCACGCCAGTGTGAGATCAATACTTTTAGCACCAGAGCTCATGGGTAACACTAAATTGATGACCTTTAGGGGCTTTTAAAGCATCACCTATGGAAAATATAAAATTTAAAATATAGGGTATTGACAATTTCCGCTGTCTCTTGGGTTGACACAATTTTAATGTTTGACATGTTGGGTATCTACCTACTCTGTGCAACTTTATCTTTTATATTTTACCATAAAAATTGGGTAAATTGTGTTTGTGTGCCTTTAATGTATTTTTTTCTGAAATTTTGCATTTTACATAAACCACTGCACTAATATCAAGTAACATAAAAAATTGGAACTAATACAAATGTATTCTCTATGGTGTCTACTTTCACAAAATATATCATGTTTGGTGATTTTAATTCATCTTCAGGCCTAAAATTATTTTTTAATCATGTAAACCAAAAGTGGTAAAAAACTGTAAAAATGGCTTTGGGACACAAGTGGTTAAATGGATGTAAAAAAGCTGATGAAAAACTGATCCGTTTTTTAACAAAAACATTGGATTGTATTTTTTAAATTTATATTCATTTAAATTGATATTAATTATAAAATCGAATACATACAATTATATTTTTTAAAAAACTGTCTATTTCGGTTTTCGGGCCGAGCGCATCCTGAATTTTCGGTTTCAGTACCACTACCAGTTATATGAGGACTCTGTACCGCACTTGCCACAGTGTGTAAAAAAAAAACAAAACAAAAAAAAAAAAAAAAAAAAAAACTTTTTCTTTCATTTTCCAAAACATTACAACTTCAAAAAAAACTCACCATGCCTCTTAATACTTTGGACTGTCAACTTTCAGTTTGTTTTGTTTCTTTGTATGTATGGCATGCAAGGGTTGTTATCGACATGTGGTGAAAATTTCATGTCAATATCATGTCAATAGCACCTTTAGAAATATACAATGCTCACAAAAATTTAAAGGATCACTTTGAAAACACATTAGATCTCAATTGGGAAAAATACCATACTGGAGATCTATACTGATATGGACTGGACGTGTTAGGAATGTAAGGATGCCCAATCGTTTGGTGGAAACGAAAATTTATCAACCTACAGAGGACTGAATTCAAAGACACCCCAAAACTCAAAGTGAAAAAATGATGCAGCAGGCTAGTCCATTTCGCTGAAACTTCATTGCAGCAACTCAAGATGGCACTCGGTAGTTTGATAATGCTTGACAATGGCTGGCCATGCTCCTAATGAGACGATGGATGGTGTCTTGGGGTATTTCCTCCCAAGGCATCACTGAGCTCCTAGACAGTCTGAGGTGCAACCTGGCAGTGTCGAATGGACTGAAACATGATAACCCTGAGGTGTTCTATTGGATTTGGGTCAGGCGAGTGTGAGGGCCATTCAATGGTATCAATTCCTTCATCCTCCAGGAACTGCCTGCATACTCTCGCAACATGAGGCCGGGCATTGTCATGCACCAGCATAGGGTCTGACAATGGGTCCAAGGATTTCATCCCAAT